CTGCAAATAGATTTCAACAGTGTGTTGCTACTTTGTTAAAAGTTTATAATAATTACAAGGGTATAATCTCATGGTAAGTTAGCAAACTATTACAAGCAATACAGCTTGAGATATGCATCTCATTTCCTAAATCCTACATTGCAAATATACCCTAAACTATCACATGCAAAAATATGAACCTGAGATTAAAAACCCTTTTACCAGTTTTGTTTGAAAATGTCCACTTCCAATTTTGCATCCAAAGAGCTAGTTAAAATGCTAACATGGCAAAATTAAAAGCCATTAAACAATATAAGGCAGCAAGTGATTAAATCTACCAAGCACATACAGAGCATCTTAAGCTACTTTTTAATTAAAACGAAAAAGATATCACTAGTAACATTCAGATGTGTTAATCTAGATAAAACAACATAATTTCACACACAAAAGCTAATGAAGCTGCTGCATGAGAAACTAAAGTTAGAAATGACTTCAGAATTTTAACTCGCTGATCCCAGAAACAACTCTTTGGATGGAAAAATGTAGCATATAGACAGGAGAATAATACTAATAATTACTAGTCCTAGTTTGGACTTCTCATAATTATTCAACTCCTGGTATTCTTTATTATTATAATATGGCATTTTTGTCCATCTATACAGTGTTACCCAATAATTTGGAATAGGCAGATGTTGTTTAATAATATTAAAGATATTGTAGTAGTATGTAAGCTGTTCCAAGTAAAGATTCCTTTTGTAATAGACTGCTGGTGATTTTATCAAAGCTGATAGTATACAAGTGACATTCCAGTTATTTTGAGATTGTACACAAGCAGCCTATTACTATTGCTACTATTTTTGCTTTCTTTTGCCAGTTATACTTCTATTTGTAGGTGTTTATATTTTGTGATTTTTTTTCCAGAAATTGAAATTCCACTACACAGACTTTTGTCTGTCTTACCAACAATTGTTAAATCTGGAGTGTTATAAGTGGCCAGATGCTTCTCTATTTCAATTCTAAAGTTCCACAGAACTTTAGCTTCTTTATAGAAAATGAAATGATGGGACCACAAAATAGAGTGATTAAAACTTTGTCTATTCTGTGGTTTCACCAGTTCTTGCTTCCAGGTAAATGGTATTTCCTCCAATGCAGTATTATTGCTACTTTGTCATGACACTGTTTGTAATCAGTCTGTGTGATCTTCTTGCAGCAGCTAACCCGATGGCGAACTGTTTCTTCAGCTTCTTTGCAGAGATGAGCCTTTCTGTCTGTTGCTGTCTTCTCAATTCTGGGTTTGTATGTGTTTGTTCTTAAGGCTTGCTCTTGTATATCCAGAATTAGCCTTTCTGTCTCTTTTTTCAACTTTCCTGATTTTAGCCATTGCGACACCTTGTTATTATCTGTTTTGATGTACTGGCCATGTAATACTTTATCTTCCCATGCCTCTTTTCTATTCTTCATTTGTCCTTTCTTGTAGGCCAGTTTGGTCTCTCCAATATTCAGTAAGCCTACCTGGTATACTAGCTTCGCTGTCCTTCAGATATTTTTCCAACGCCCGTTTTATTTCTTCAACCATCTGATGCACTTGCAACATTTCATACCCATCTATTTTCCTTGGTAAGTAGAGTCTGTCAACATCACTTCATAGATGAAAGGCATAATTTATTATCATTATTTGGGGTGGGGGTGGGACTTTTAGTACTTCTTGAGTCCAGTCCACTATTCCAACTGTGTATCTAATGAATGGAATTTTCCAAGTGTTGAGTTCCTTCACTCAGTTTGGATGAACATCTTCACTTTCATGACGTATTAAATTCTAACCTTGATTTGAGTGTGTTTAATATTGTCAGCTTTCATGTTCACCTATTTGTAGTGATCATCTTCCTCTAGTCTCTTAATGTTATTTCCGTAGGGTAACTTGATTCCTTCAGTTTCCCCTGTTTTTCCTCTACCGTTCATGAGTGTGGCTTGTTTGTCAAGCCCAAACTCCATTGCAATATCTTGGCTATATATACAGACAGTATTAAGCAACTATTATTTCAGATTGTGTATTTCCACACAGCTTCAGATCTTCCATGTAAAGGAAATGAGATAACCTGGCAGATATTTTAATTGTTTGATAGCCATAGACCAACTTGTTCAGTTTTGTTGACAAAGGAACCAGTGCCATACAAACAGTAGTGAGAGTGAGTCTTCTTGAAAGATTATGGACAGCATCTGTAGCTTCCATTGTGCCATTGGTCTTTGCACAAGTTTCTGATATTTATACTGACTTCTGTTATTTCAAGGCAATTGATCCAATCATGTTGCATAAAGTTAAAACTAGTAATCCAATCCAAGATAATTCAAGTTGGTCTTCCTTCTCTTATGATTTTCCAAAATCTTGTCAATTAGGAGCTGATCTATTGTCCTCTGCTGTTTGGGCAGTTCCTTTTCTGCTCTCATGGATTGAGCTTGTTTTCAACTAGATGATGTTGGACTGCATTAGCTACCACACCAGATACCACACCAAACTGACAGCTCTTGGTAAGCAGGTAATTAGCCTGTAGTTGCCTGGTTTCCTTTTGTTGGATCTTTCATTATCATGTTTAACTGGATTTGGTATTTTTATCTATCTATATTATTACTGTTCATCATGCAATTAGCTAGATGATCAGACTGGATTGGCATTTTTATTCACCTATCAAACCCTTCTTAAAAACCTGGAATAGGAGACGTTGATGTATGATGGTATTAGAGGTATCATCACAGGATGTACACTGTTCGACCTAAAGCTGCCTGTTGCAATTGACTTATGATGAATTTGTCAATGCTGATATTCAAGTGATGCTCCAGTTTATAATATTATCTCCTTTATTCATTAAACATAAAACTTAGTCAACTGAACATTTAAAAATGTATCACAAATATCACTGACTGGCGCTGATGGTTGATACAGGTTGCTGCCAGCATCCTAGGTATCAACCAAATATATGATAATGATGATGATGATGATGATGATGTACCACAAGGCAGAGAACATGCCTAATATTTTGTTTCCTATTTTCCCTACAACAGCTGAGTTGTTGGGCTGAGAGAGACTAACCCAATTATCAGGTCAGGGGTCGCCAATCTTTTGGATCTCAGGGACCACCATGCTTTTAAATCCTGAGGACCACTAATATGATTTTTTTTAAAGATAATATATTTAATATAACATTTTTTATTTTTTATATTAAATATAAGTGCACTATTTAAAAAAAAATATAAATATATATTTTTAAATATAAAAAGCTTATTTAATTATAACAAAAATATAACAAGCAAAGCAGAGCCCCCTCCCCCCCCCCCCAAAAAAACCTGGTCCCCTGCCATACCCCCCCCAAGTCAGAGGAAACCACTCCCTCCTTTGCCAGGTGTGGCTGCCTGAAGTTGGGGGAGGGAAGGAGGGCCAGGCTGGAAGCCTCCCCCCACCTGGAAGCCTTCCCTCTACCCCTGGTCTTTAACACATGGCTTGCTTCTCCACTACTGCCTCCTCCTCCTCCTCCAGGACCTCCTTCTCCGAGAAAGGCGATTATGAATTAACCAAGCGGCTACATTGATATCCCAGCTGCTCCCTTTTCCCATGGTAAGACTTGGCGTATGGATAAAGGAGCTGACAGCTGCTACTTGGCGGTCCTGCAGGCAAGACGAAGTCATCCCGGTCCCAGTTAAGACATACCAGTCACAAACCCAGTGTCCTAGATGAGAGGGGTCGCTTCCCCATGCCAGGGAGAGCAGCAGGCGTGGGCGTGCACAGTTTTTACTCTGGACTGACGAGCCACGTGCTGAAGACCAGATGACTGTCGGGAAGATGGGGCAACAGGAGTGATACTGGCAGCAGATGGACATATACACAGGAGATCGCGGCATAGGCCTGACCTGCGAGGGGGTGGGGGGGACTGAACTGGTGTTACCTCCTTCCTCTTGCCTCCGCGTATCAAAGAGGTTGAGCGGCTGCCAGGGGAAGATGTTGCAAGGGGGAGGCTCAACCCTCCCAGGAGCTTCTCTTTCTCCTTGCCGGAAGTGCTCACATGCAAAGCACTCGCCGCCCCTCTGGCCCCCAACAAGCCTCCTCCTTCCCACTGAGCGTGTGAGCGCTGCTTCCTGTGGCTCAGGAGGTCTGCGCTCTTCCCGCTGCTGCTCAGCCTCCTCGATGCGCTGAGGCAGAAGGCAGCAGCCACGACACAAGTTTGCTAGGGAGACTGCAGCATTGCCCCACTTCCCTGCCTCAGTATGCTGCAGCCACCAAAATTTTCTCACGGCTCATCAGTGGGCCGCGGCCCATGCGTTGGCGACTGTTGATCGAGGGGGTTTTTATGCCCAAGGCAGGCCTAGAACTCAGAGTCAGCTGGGTTTTTTTTCAACACCTTAACCAATATTTCAAACTATTCTTCAAGTTGTCTGAGAAATTTTGAGAATTGAAATCTATACATCTGGACAGCACTATAGTTGGGAAAAGCTACTCTAATGCTGATTAAAGATAATTAACAATGGTCTTCAAGATTGAGTTTTCTACCGTCCTAAACAATGTTAAAAAAAAACCTAAGTAATTATATACATTTAAAAAACACATATAACCAACTCCTTGGCACTCACTTTAAAAACTATGCACAAAACAGCTGAAATATGATTAATTTGTTTTCATCATTAAAACTTATTGATTTAGATTTTTTTTTTCTAAAAGCCCCTAACAATGACCTCAGTAAGTCTCAAGGTTGAATATTCTATTTATGAGGATGGTCCAATATTTTTAACATTAAAAAAATAAGTAAAGAAAATAATCCACAGTTAGGCTTGCTGCCAGAATTCTAAAGATCAAGTTTCTCAGGCAGAGATGATATCATCTACCCCTAAGATACTGATACTTGCAGATACTGAAATATGTACTTGAAATGAATCATAAACCACTTATTCATTTTTTTTTATTTTCTTGCTGTTAAGTTCAAAATTTATGTCATAACATATGTTTTAAATGTTTGCTTGAGATAGAATGCACTTACTTAAAAAACTTGCCCTAAAATAGAGAACAGGAGCTTGATAACTGCAGGAATATAGAACATGATATTCATAGCGAATCACCTCTGATACTTCAGAGACTCCAGCCTCTTGAGAATCATCCAGACCTTCCTGAAACATAATTTATACTAGTAAACACAAGGCTGTGGCAAGAAAACAATAGCTTACTGTATCAAATCAGTACATATATTAAATAATCAAAACTGCTATATTGTTTATTATGCATACATTGTATTACATCATGATATGTCTTTCTGTAAATTGATGGCATCTAAAAAAATGCACATACAAATACAAACACAAACACACACGTGTATGTGTGAGAGGGAGAGAGAGAGCGGGAGAGAGTGTTTTAATATATTCGTGACAAAGTATTTTTTTAATAAATAAGTTCACTCACTTGTTCTTGTAATAATTAGATCCCTGGGGATATCATCTTGTATGTTTTGGGAAATTTAATTACAAGTCTCATTTTTAAAACAAAAAATTCTCTAGCTTTCTCCATTTACTTACTATTTAAAATGTCAAGAAGATTTCTTAGTGATATCATACTAAATATCACCATTTGTGATGATATTTAGATTTGTGTCTCTTTCATGACCACTTAGGACTCCTTTGGAATAGCTTCCCTTAAAATTTAGAGAATCCAACAACCTATTAGCTTTTGGGAGAGATATGAAGCCCAGGATCTTCACTCAAGCATTCTGTTAAGATGGTAGTTAGCCCAGCAAATGCAAATGTAAACATGGAATTAATTGGCACTGTGATGGGATCTGTGATACTATTGTGGGGTTTTATGATTTTGTGGTTTTATGAATATTGTTGTGAGTTGCCTAGGATTATCAAGTATAAAATAGAAGGATATATACATTTTCTAAATAAATGAATACATTTGGCTAATCAGTGTCATGCACCCAGTATTACACACACAACAAATTTGAAAAAAGTCTTTTCTTTTTCAGAACTCTTATGGACAAAACATGCCCACCTGAGTTGAAAGCCATATACTTGGTTTTTCTTCAATTCAATGCACTATAATTGTATACTCAAAATGCTTCACAAATGTCCAATACAAAACTGGGGTAACCCACCATTCTAAATTATTGTTTACTTACCACCATTCACTGAATAATGCATAGTTGTCTGCTTTAATACATCATGGTTTATAAAGTACAATGTCTAACTTCCCAAAATATTTAACACGGTAAGCTGTCCAAGGTTACCCTATAATATTGTAAGCTGTCCAAGGTTATTGGCAGCCAATAAATTTAATAAACAAATAAATACAAAGCCAAAACCATAAAAACTACAGTAAAATGCTTAAATTTATAATTAACTCCTCTGAATTGTAGCAGAAAGAGGTCAGACAGAAAAAAATCAGTATTATGTTGTGGCATCACAAGCCTAGTCCTTTTTCTACATTTATCATAATCTAAACCATGTGGCTGTGGTCATTCCTGTTCAGCTTACAAATATTTTTTTTTATTTGTTTATATCCCACTTTTATTATTGTTACAAATAATTCAAGGTAGCAAAAACATCTAGTCTTCCTTTCTTCTTCTATTTTTCCCACAACAACCCTATGAGGTGAGGTGAGCTGAGAACAACTGACTGGTCCAAAATCACCCAGCTGGCTTTCATGGCTAAGCAGGACTTAAATTTACGGTCTCTTCCTTTCTAGCCTGGTGCCTTAACTACTAGACCAAAGTGGCTCTCGATTGAGATGGATTGAGTTTAAGATGGGGTGGCTTATCTAAGACTATTTAATGAATTAAAGCTAAGAATCAGAGGCTTCCTTTCAGCCAATATAATATTCCTAACCTATTACATCTTTACGATTTCTTCCAACCAAGGAAAGATTTATGGATATACGAAGGAGAAAAAAATATTATATTAGAGTCACAGATAATTCACAGAGTCAAACTCATACAGAATTCAAAACATGGTTAAACCAATGTACATTGCTCTTAAGAATAAAACTGTACATTGAGCTGTGTTTGTTAATTCATTATTACTAACAAGTTAGGTTAAGTAAATGTAATTTGTATTATCTGCTTTATTCATTACATTAAGTTGATTGTCTATCACTGACAATCTTTTGATCACTTTGAGTAGTAAAGCATTCTTCTGTATATTTCAGTTGATAGAGAATAAATGTCAAAATCTAAATTTATATTGATGGTAGGTTAATATTATTATTTTTAAAAAGAAAATTAAAACTATTTACTTTTGTATCAGCCTTGATCCGTCATTGTAGTTGTGCTTTTAAAGTTGTAGTGACGTTTCAGCAGAATCTCATCTGCTATCATCAGACTTGTGTATTGGATTTGTCTGTGTGTCAGACTTTCACAGCCTGACACAGCTTTAAAACAGAAATAGCTGTGAAAGCCTGACACACAGACGAACCCAATACACAAGTCTGATGATGGCAGATGAGATTCTGCCAAAACGTTGCTACAACTTCAAAAGCACAACTACAATGAAGTGGGAAAATACCCAGACAAAGCTGAATACCACATATATAAATACGCATGAAAATTTAAGAATATACAGTATATGTGTGTGTGTGTGTGTGTGTGTATACACATACAATAATAATAATAATTCATATGATAACAGCAACTTAAATTACTGAAATAAGAATACTTCAACAGTAAGGATACCACTAATCAATTAGGCTTAAATATAATGAAAAATTTATACTCTAACAGAAGTGAAACAAATCTAAGGCATTCATTAAATCCTTCCCAAAGACCACAATAACTCTTAAGTGTTCAAAATAGATTCAGACAATTCATGACACTTTTCATCAGCTCCTGACCACTTGCAAACTGAAGTAATTTCCTTTGCAAACATAAGTGGTCATTTGGAAATAAAGCCATTTTATTTTTTGGAAACATTTATCATGGACTGAGAGAAAGACAAATATTAGAATATACATTAATATAATACAAACAATATATTCCCAGAATATAAGTAGCTATTCCTGCCAGAAAAAGATATGTGTTCTAACACTTCCAAGCTTATATCTATATGGTTTGAAAATTTGAGATATCCTTTGTAGTTAACCAACTGTAAGTAAGGGAGATCACTGTGCAGTTGTTGTTTTTATGCATGAAGACCTAAAGAGCTTAAAGAAGCAATTAAAAACCAAATAACTTAAGAATCTCTTTCAACCACAGCTGGTGATATCTTTTCTCAGACTCTTAAAAACCTTATTTCTTCCTGCATTGCAGAAACATTTTATACTATGCTGAATTTAGTACTTTATTAGAAAACAAACTTAGATAAGAAGTGTACAGGTGGTCCTTGACTTATAACCATTAATTTAGCAACCATTCAAAGTTACAACGGAAGTGAAAAATGTGACTTATGACCAGTCCTGCCACTTACAGCTATTACAGATATTACAGCATTCCCATATCACAGATTAAAATTCAATGCTTGAAATTTGCATGTACAGGGTTCTATCATCCCAGGTTCATGTGATCATTATTTGTCAGTGAGCCTGACAAGAAAAGTCAACAGGGAAGCAGGATTCGCTTAAGGACCACATGATTCATTAAACAACTGCAGTGATTTCAACTGGCAAAAGGTCATAAATTTGGGTGCAAATCACTTAACAACTACTTTGCTTAGTTATTGGAAATTTTGGTCCCAATTGCGGTCGTATGTTGAAAACTATCTGTACCTATTTAAAAAAAAAAGATCACATTCCTGAAGATGACAGACAAGAAGCACAGAATGTTTTTTTTACAAAGTCTGAATCAGAATACAGCTGGAAGGGGCCATGGAGGTTTTGAGCAGAACACCCTACCATTTCAGACGAGTAACTGTCCAGTCTCTTCTTAAAAACCTCCAGTGACGAAACGTCTACAACTTCTGAAGTCAAGCTGTTCCACTCGTTAATTGTCTTCACTGTTACAAAGTTTCTCCTCAATTCCAGGTTGCTTCTCCCCTTGATTAGTTTCCATCCATTGTTTCTTGTCCTGCCTTCAGGGGTTTGTAAAATAAATTGACCCGCTCCTCTTTGTGGCAACCTCTCAAATACTGGAATACTGCTATCCTGTCCCCCCAGTCCTTTTCTCTAGACGAGCCAAACCCAAATCCTACAACCATTCTTCATATGTTTTAGTCTCCAGGCTTTTTTTTTTTAAAAAAACAATTTTATTGGCTTTTTTAAAAAACAAACAAAACAAACAAAGCATAAAAACATCAGCTCTCTTCCAGGCTTTTGATCATCTTAGTTACTCTTCTTTGCACTTTTTCCTAAGTCTCAACATCTTTTTTGTAATGTGGCGACCAAAACTGGATGCAGTATTCCAGGTATGGTCTTACTAAGACTTTATAAAGTGATAATAATACTTATTACATGATTTTGATTCTGTTTATACAACCATTGATTGTATTAGCTTTTTTGACTGCTGCCAAAACACTGCTGAGTCATGTTTAAGTGATCATCCACTAAGACTCCAAGGTCCCTCTCACTGTTACTGTTTTTGAGCCAGGTTTCAACTAATCTATACTTGTACTTTTGGGTTTTCCTGCCCAGGTGTAAAACCTTGCTTTTCCCCACATTAAATTTCATTTTGTTTGATATTGAAACAAATAATTTAAGCACAGCAAACAGCTGAATAAGTGAATAGTTTTATGTAGGGATAATGTCCAATTTTGCTATAGATTTTAACTACATAGTCAGAGCACAGGCTCATTTGCTTATCTTATTTCTACTTCTATAGCTATTTCTTCATCCTATAAACATACGAGAACTTCTGAAACCTCCTTAAGGCCATTACTTATCCCTTTTTATTTGGTAAAAAGTACTAAGGATGCATGACATGACATCTAGAGTACTGATGTATAATCCTTTGCTGTTCACTAGGGTGAATACAAAGAAGGAAGTAAACCGTGGTGCTTGCAAATGTTTATAGCATTATTTTAATCATTTTCTGACAGAAATGTCAGAAGAAATAACTGTTAATAATTTTAATAAGTGAAAAGAATTATCAGAATTTTTAATTACACCAATGATTTGTGAAGTGAATGGTAAAGTAGCCATTTATATACTGGCAAGTGAATTCCTCCTGTGCCCAGGCATTCAAGTATGCATT